CTTCCAGGCCTCGGAGACGGCTCAATTGAGTCGTCTGCCGAGGCAGATGGTCTGCCAAATAGTCTGGATCCGAGCCATATAGGGCTTTATAGGTCATCACCAGCACTTTGAATTGTGCCTGGAAACAAACTGGCAGCCAGTGAAGCTGTTTCAACAGGGGCATTGTGTGGTGTCTGTAATGTGCCCCACTTAACAGTCTGGTTGTAGCTCTTTGGACCAGCTGGAGTTTCCAAGCACTCTTCAAAAGCAGCCCCAAGTAAAGCACATTACAGTAGTCCAAACATGATATAACTAAGGCATGTACCATGTGGTCATATCTGACATCTCAAGGAACAGGCGCAGTTGGCGCACAAGCTCTAAATGTGCAAAAGCATTCCTGGTCACTCCAGAAACCTGGGCCTCCAGATTCAAATTTGAGTCCAGGAGTACCCCCAAAGTGTGAACCTGCATCTTCAGAGGGAGTGTAATCCATCTAACACAGACTGAATTCCTATTCCCCGATTTGCCTTCTGGCAGACCAGTAGCACCTCTGTCTTGTCTGGATTATGTTTCTTGTCTGAATTATGTTTTAGGAAGGCCCACGCAATCCAACTCACAGTCAGTTTCTAGTTGTTCAGGGAGGTAGGGTAAACCACTATGACTTTTCTTATCATCTAACAATCTCACAGGCTGCAATATTTCTCCCGTCAATTAACTCAGTAATGCACCTGTATACAGTGGGCAAGTCACATTCTCTCCACCTCAGAGAAAGGCAAGGTCAAATCTCCTCTGTACAAATTTTGCCAAGAAAACCCCATGATAGGTTGGCGTTAGGGTCATCATAAATTGGAAATGACTTGTAGGCACACAACAACAAAACAACAACATACAGTGGTTCTGTGATACTTTCTGAAGTAAAGGCACACATTGAGACAGTCCTCATTGCTCACCCCCAAGGAGAGTCTGAAAATGCAGGTGCCGTGTTGATCCATCACTCTCAATTTTTATCATCTCTCTATCCAGCTTCGATTTTCCATTTGAAGAGGTATAGTTCACAATAATATGAAAATGCATCTACTGTGAGGATTGCAGCTAAACTCAGAGAGATCATGGGAGCCTGAGAAGGGAAATGGATTATGACACCATCCCTGCTAGGTAAAAAGTCCCAGCACTTCAATCCACCAAGTCCTATCTCATCTACAACATTGGGCATCTGTGTTATTGGAGATCTGGAACCATACGTGAATTATCCCAAATGACATATAAACTTTAATGTATCAGTTTTGCAAATGTCTACAGGGATATTAACAAGAAGCAAGCAATTCTAATGACATTTTCCACTGATACCATCTTATTTGTTTTAATTGACTTGACACTCCCTTTGCTGCAAACACTTGTAAAATGTGACATATTAAAGGAACATGTTTTGCTTATGCAAGTGACTCACACCTCATTGGTCCTTGCAATTTAATTCATAGCAACTTGAAGGAAATATACTAATTGTTATTATGAGTTCTGTAGACATGCTTTACTACAGCATCTTAAAATGGCCTAGAAGCTTAACACATGCATTAAATGGAAAGTAATAATTGTTTCCATTGTACGACACAACACAGTTTGTCTGGATTTAAATAGACAAAGAAAGTAGCACGAACAGAAGAGGTTGGAACCACATTGTAGCATATGGCCTTTTCTCCATTCTTGCCAACAGGAAATAGTCTTTCCTTCAGCTTTGGATGCCAGTGATAAGCAAGCCTCTTTTTGATTTGCTCTAACTTGGGGTGATGTGATACTTACAGTAAAAGGTGGTTTAAGAAGGCTAATCGTAGCACCTGAGACAGCAGACACGGAAGACAGAGGCAGTAATAGTGAGGACCAGAGACTATTATGACCTGAATTTTATTGATAGACCCAGCTAGGATAGCACCATTGAATCAGTTGTTGAATCAAGAGTCATAACTTATATAAATTCAATTGATCCATTGTACTTTAGTTGGGCCTACCAATAGATATTTCACTAGTATTGTTCTACCCAGCCCAGTCCCAACTACAGGAAATACTATCTTTATTTTGGTACTGTTTTCCATACCTGAATTAGAACAACAGATGCTTCATTGGAGTCACCAAACTTCAAAATGTTAGTGTTTTTGGACTGCTACTCCCAGAAACTTTCAGCTAGCAGGACCTCTGGACATATTGCCGGATACATTTATAGCAGCTATGGTTCAGAAAAGATAACTTTTGAAACATCTACTGAATAAAATAGTAAGGATGGTAGTCTACAGGAGCTTTTCCTCTGAGAACTTCATCACCAAGAGCCATTTCTCGGAAGACACCTTTCTGTTACTTCCCCAGTCATTTTATGCCC